TTCTGTCATTCCACGCAGTAGAAGTCGGAAGCCTTGACAGCTTTGTACACTTCTGTACGTGTTTTCCGCGCAGGACGTATGCATGCTTTGGGTTGATTGTCTCTGTTAAAAACTGGAATCACTGCTCGCTTCGGCAACACATACATTAAAAACTGGTATCGTTATGCATCTTTTCATACTATAATGGACATCTTTTCATTTTGTACATATAACTCGTTCATTACTTTGCAAACTAGTTACTTAGCATGCCAGGCACATTTAAGGGCTTTACAATTTTTAAAAAAGAAATTTTATTTTATCCCACTCTTTCCCTTCCCTTGTCCCCCCCAACCATGCACAAAAAGCTTTGTTTCCATTTTTCATTTGTTTTTTTTGTCCTTTCCTGTCTCCCTCCTCCCTTGTGCCTTTTCCTATTTGAATTTCTTCCCATTTCCCAACATCCACTGTACATTTTAGTACTTATTTCCTCTTTTGGTTTCTCACACCAGGGAAACAATGTCATATTTAAACATGTGTGTGATTTATCTATCACTTAAGAATAGGATCTCTCTTCTTTTTTTCCTGTACCAAGGATCGAACTCTGGACCTTGTGCTTGCAAGGCAGGTTGCGGGACCACTGAGCTGAATCCCTGGCCCGTAAGAGTATGGTCTCAAGGTGCATCCATATAGCTGTAAATGGCTGAAGCTCATTCTTTATGGCAGAGTAGTATTCCGCTATATTAAAAAAAAATCTTTATCCACTTGTTGATTGATGGGCATTTGGGCTGTTTCCAAGATTTAGCTGTTGCAAACTATGAAGGGGCTTGCAATTTTTGGTATTAAAACTAATGTTAAGTTTTACTGCTATAAACAATTACAAATGTCCCCAGATCTCCATCTGTCTGAGTTTCTCAATTCATTTAGGTTTCTGTTCAAATGTCACCTCCTCCAAACAGCATGACTTACGCTTACCTCCCCCTAATTCCTCTTCTTCCTCCTCCTCCTTCTGGAACTGGGAATTGAATTCAGGGTCTTCACGCTCATCTACATCCCCATCCCTTTTATTATTTTGATACTGGGTCTCACTAAGTCATTAAGTTACCCGGGATGAGTTTGAATTTGTGATTCTCCTGCCTCAGCCTCTCAGGTGTTAGGATCACAGGAATTTGGTAACATCTCACCACTTTTTAGTCTTTTAACCTTCCCCTCTTTTTTTTTTTTTTTAACAGCATTTATCACTACATGGCATTTCTTTTTCTTTTTTTTTTTTTTTGTTTTTTGTTTTTTGGTACCAGGGATTGAAATCAAGTCCTTGCGCTTGCAAAGCAGATGGCAGCATCACTGAGCTAAATCCCCAGTCCTCTTTTTCTTTTATTCATTTATTTTTTTTTATTTTTATTTTTATTTTTTTTGGTACCAGGGATCAAAGTTGGGCCCCTGAATTTGTGAGGCAGGCGCTGGAACCTCTGAGCTAAATCCCTGACTCTTTTTGTTTTTTTAAAAAACAGGTCTTATTAACGTGCTTTGGTTAGCCTCAAACTTTTGATCTTCCTGCTTCAGCCTCTCAAGTACCTGGGAACACAGGCATCCACCATCACACCTGGCTACTGCAAAGCATTTGTTTACTAATTAACAATTAACGTATTATGTCACCACTGGAAGCCTCAAAAATTCCACGAAGGTAAAGACTCTTGCATAGCACTGCTGTATTCCCAATCTTCAGAAGGGTATTGGGCCCATAGGAGAATTCCACTTACTATCTACTGGATTTGTTTATTTGTTTGTTTGTTTGTTTGTTTGTGTTGAGACAGGTCTCACTTGTAGATCAGACTGGCCTGGAACTCACTATGTAGCCCAGACTGGCCTCCTGGAGCTCATGATGATCCTCCTGCCTCAGCCTCCCCAGTACTGGGATTACAGGTGTGCGCCACCAAGCCCGGTTCCACTGAATGAATTAGTAACAGCAATACATATTTGTTTATATACTTATCTTTGTAAATATATACAAATGTTTCGGTAGAGTTGCTGGACTAAAGAGTATGAACATTTAAATTGGGACAAAAATCACTGGAATAATCTTTTAAAAATTGTACCAATCTGAAAGGTGTAGGGGAAGTGGGAAGGGTAGGGGAAAGGAAATAAGGGACAAGAAAAAAATATGAGAAAAGGAAAAATGGAAACAAAGCCTTTGTAAATAGGGAAGGGTGGAGGGGGTGAAGGGAGGGCAGGGGTATGGGGAAAAAAATGAGAACCAAGACCTGTCATGTAAAAGTACAAGATCCCAATGATGAATGTAACTGTACTGTATACCTAAAATGTATCAATAAACTCAATTAAAAAAATTATACCAATCCTGGGCCAGGGATTTAGCTCAGTGGTTCTGCCGCCTGCCTCACAAGCACAAGGTCCTGAGTTTGATCCCCAGGACCCCCCAAAAAAAGAAAGAAAAAAAATTGTACCAATCCTACTCACCCCAAGAGTAGATGACACACAACCCCCAGGCATAGGATCATGTGGATCTTTGTATCTTTCCTCTTGACTTGAGGATTTAAGATACATTTGGGTCTTACGGTAAAACAAAAAAGGGTGCAAGTCTGGCTCCCTGTAGATGCGCTTCACACATTCACAGCACTGTGTGCGGCTGTCTGCACGGAGGACCCAGACTTTGCGCTGTCTGATCAGCTTGGCCTTGTGGTTGGATCAAGGGACCCTTCTTTCCATCAGTCTCCCAATTACTTCTCATCCTTCATCTTAGCATTTTTTTTTTTTTTTTTGGTACCAGGATCAAACCCAGGACTTTGCACTTGCCAGGCAGGTGTGGTGCCACTGAGCTACATCCCCACCCTGCTTAGCCCAGTCTTGCTGGAGTCTCCATGATGCTCTGTGACTGTCTATGTGGGCATTTTTAAAACCATTTTGAATTTTTTTCTTTCTTTTTTTAGAGCTGGGGATCAAACCCAGGGCCTGTGCACATTAAGCAGAAGCTCTACCACTGACTATATCTCCAACCCAATGGCTTTTCTTCCTTTGTAAAAATATGAATAAAAGAGTTTAAAGAATTTTTGTAAAGACGAACAAGACAATGAGTCATCGCCTCTGACTCAGAGCCCATCATATTAGCTGGCACAAAATGCCTCCCCCTCTCCCAGGACCCTCTGAAGCATCCCAGCTCTCTGTAGCACTTGGGACATTTCTCAGTTCTGACCTGCTTTCAGGTAATGTGCAGTTGGTAGGCTATAGGTGGTTGTGGTTCTTGTTTGTTTGTTTGTTTGTTTTTTGAGACAGGGTCTCACTATGTAGTTGAGTCTGACCTGGAACTCACTATGTAGCCCAGGCTGGTCTCGAACTCACAGTGATCCTCCTGCCTCGGCCTCCAGAGTGCTGGGATTACAGGTGTGCACCACCACGCTTGACTAGGTGGTTCTTGAATATGGTAGACACTCAATAGATGACTGCCAAAAGTGGAGTTGATTTCTGCATTTAGGAACCAGTATCCTTCTTCCGTGCTATAGTTACTCTCTACACAACTCGCCACTGGATGAACTCATCTCTCAGTTATGTCAGAGCTGAATGCGCCTTTCACAGAACTTTAAAAGTGACTCTGACTGATTCATCAAAACATAGCAATACTCAAACATGCTCCTGTTGCTAACAAAGACCAGCATGGGCTGTCTTTCCTCCCTTCCCTTAGGGCCCCTTGACTCACTGGAGAAGAGTCATCATAGCTCTTGTGCTGCAGTAATATGGACAAAGCTGGTTTAAATAATCACAATGTGGCCAGAAAGCAACTTGCAGTTGGTTCTGTTGGCCACCGTGGTCATTTCCTGTGCGTGTCACAACCCCAGAGGAGAGGCAGTTAATCAGTGACCTCAGTGAGTTTTCAGTGCCTACATTCTCTCAGGCACTCATGATTCCTTCTGTGTAGGACACTTCTGCGAAGTGACCTTTTAGTTATTGCAACTCATTTAAAGTATAGAGGAAAGTGGGCCTTTGTGCCTCTGCATAGAAAAAAGGAAATACTGAAGAAAATGGGACTACATGATTCAACCTCAGTAGGAAAGGATTATAGGGCTGGGGATTTAGCTCAGTGGCACTGCACCTGCCTTGTGTGTGCAAGGTCCTGAGTTCATTCCCTGTTACAGGGGGAAAAAAAGAGGTCCTAAGGCTGAAAGTTACTGAGATAACTGGAAGTAGACATGATTGATAACATGGCTGGTTACAGCCAAACTTTTATTTTACAGTCAGGTGTGTGTGTGTGTGTGTGCACGCACATGTGGGAGGTGCTGGAGATGGAGCACAGGAGCTTATGTAGGCCAGTCAAGCACTCTACCACTGAGCTACATTCACTGCCCAAAACACAACTTTCATTTGTTTATTTATTTATTTATTTTTTGTTTTTTGAGACAGGGTCTCACTATGTGGTTGAGACTGACCTGGAACTCACTATGTAGCCCAGGCTGGTCTCAAACTCACAGCAATCCTCCTGCCTCAGCCTCCCCAGTTCTGGGATTACAGGCGTGAGCCACCACGCCTGGCTGGCCCTGAATGAGAATTTTAGATCCTCAAACTTTTTGTATAGAATCCATGTTTCCGAAGTATAACTGAACTCTCCATTTTCTGATTTTTTATTTGTTGGTTTGTTTTTGTTTTCTCCCTTTTTCATTCAGGCTGGCCTCAAACTCACAGCAATCCTCCTGCCTCAGCCTCCCGGGTACTGGGATTACAGGCATGCATCATCACGCCCTGCTTGTTGGTTTTTTGTTTTTTTGGGGAATACTGGGGATCAAACTTGGGTCCTTGTAATTGAGGCTTGCCATGAATTTGCCACAATCCTCCTGCCTCAGCCTTCCAAGTGCTGGGATTATGGGTGTGCACCACCATGTCTGCCCTCGATAGATTTTCTACTAGAGATTGAACCCATGGTCTTTGCAATGAACTATATCTCCAGTTGCCCGCCTTTTTTTTTTTTTTTCCTAATTTTTGGGACAGGGTCTTCACTTAGTCACTAAGTTGTCTAGGCTGGGTCTGAACTTCCATTCTTTACTCTCAGCCTCCCAGAATGCAGGGATTTTATCTCACTGTGCCCAAAACTGCTCTTATTAGATTTTTTTAGCTGATTGTGTACAACTCAACTGTCTGTCCATATCAAGGAAACTTATTTTGAGGATACCAGAAGTCACACATTGAATTTATTGATTTTATTTTTTAATTTTTAATTTTTTGGTACCAGGGATTGAACTCGGGCCCTTGTACTTGTGAGGCAGGCGCCGGAATCACTGAGCTAAATCCCCAGCCCCCGAATTTATTGATTTTAAAACCATAACAATTCTGAGGCTAGCCTGGACTACAATAGTGAGTTCAAGGACAGCCTGAAAGTGACTGTCTCAAAACAAAAACAAAAGTACAGATTTTGTAAAAACTACAGATTATTCTTAAACAGCATTGCTATAATAAAAAACACATAGGGCTGGGATTTTAGCTCAGTGGTTCTCCCACCTGCCTCAAAAGCAGAAGGACCAGAGTTCGATCCCTGGTACCCCCCAAAAAAAGCACACATATCATTTATTGAACAATAACTGTAAGCGAAAATGCTCACTCACGTCTAACGTGCTGAACAACTCCTGAAGAATTGGATTTTTTTATATTGTACTCAGCACGAGCTGATCAACGCGTGGTGAACTGACCACATCCATCAGCATATTAAGGCAAGCAACACCGTTAGAGAAATCTAATCTATTCCTGAGAAGTCAAACAGGAGCAGTGCTAGGAGTTACTCATTTTACCCTGGGTCCTGGATTCCTGGGCCAGCTGGCAGTTGCTAACAGTTGCAGCTGGGTTAATGTAAATTTTTTTTTTGTGCCGGGGATTGAACTTGGGACTTTGTGCTTGCGAGGCAGTCAGCAGCACCACTAAGCTAAATCCCTGGCCCTGTAAGTTGAGATTTGTCAAAAGAAAGAACAAGCAGAGGGGAAAGGCAGAGATAACAAGGAAGATGAAGAAAGACAGTTGAACTTTTTTTTTTAAAGCTTCTTTTGAGACAGGGTCTGGCTTTCTGATTCAGGCTGGCCTCCAACCACTATGTAGCCCAGGATGACCTTGAAATGATCCTCCTGCTTCAGCCTCCTGAGCTCTGGAATTACAGGCATGTGCCACTATGCCCAGGTAACAGTGGAACTTTTGTAGCATATTTGTTTTTTAAGTGAAAAACCTGGAATTTAACCGATGCAGGTTAACCCTTTTTTTTGTGGTAGCGAGGACTGCACTTAGGACCCTATGCTTGTGAGGCAGGCATAGAACCACTGAGCTAATTCCCGGCCTGGGTTAACCCAGTGTTTTGGGGGTACCAGGGATCAAATTTAGGACCTTGTGCTTGCAAGTCAAGCGGTGGAATTGCTGAGCTAAATCCCTGGCCCTAACCCATTTTTTTAAAATTAAAAATCTATTAGACTAGGCCCTTTAGAGATGAACTGATTACTTCTCCAGGATCAAAAACAAAAACTAAAAAAGATTTGGCTATGAGTAAAGCCCTACTAGTCTGATGAAACATTCCCACAGACTATATCACTGAGAAACCTCACTTCTTAATTCCAAAGGATTGCGTTGTTCAGAGAGCAAAGCCTGTGTTAATAGGAATGTGCACAATATCCACGTGCTGTGTATACAAAGTGATTTAGGAATCTCGGTCGTAAATCTTCAGAGCCAGCGTCTTGCTCACACTGCAGCCAACGAAGGTGAATGGTCTGAAAAAACATTAAAGCCTTTTACCTTACTTGCTAAGTCATGGATCCAAAGAGGACAAACAAATTAAGTTTGTTCCCTCTACAGCCAGAGGCAAGATTCTTACTCAGTTCTTACAAGTACCACAAGCATGTGGAGTCTGCAAAAACTGCCTAGCAACATTACAAATGGAAACAACATGGGTATGGAGAGCAGCCAGAAGTCTGTCCTCTCCAGGGCAAGTGGGTGTGGCTCCTCCGTCCAGTACAGTGTGTGCTGTTCTCAGAGAAGCATGAAGTTTTAAAAAGCAGAACAGTCACTTTGGATTTCAGTTAGGATGTTGCTGTCATTAACCGTAACATCAGGCCTGCCGAGCTTAGCTGGAGGCAGGGCCTAGCTTTCTTATGTATTTTGGAACGTTTGCTTTAAAGATGGCTGCATTTTTCTAGAATTTTTCCAGAAACATTTATTAAGCACCTTCTCAGGGTCTAGGGCACAGTGCTGATCACTGGAGCTGTGAAGACAAGACGGGTTTCCAGCAGCCATAGTTAGGGAGGAAGCCAGATAAGCAAACAAAATAACGGTGTTCCTGGCAGAGGGGTGTGTGTGTGTGTGTGTGTGTGTGTGAACTCAGGTTCTCCTGAATGCTAAGTAATCACTCTTTTGTTTTGTTCTGTTTTTTGCTTTTTTGAGACAGGGTCTTACTATATAGTTGAGATTGACCTGGAACTCACTATGTAGCTCAGGCTGGTGAACTTGCAGTGATCCTCCTGCCTCAGCCTCCCAAGTGCTGGGATTACAGGCGTTGCACCACCACGCCCAGCCTAAGTAATCACTCTTACTAAGCTTTATGACCAGCCCTTACTGCTGAGTCTTATCTGGTAGTACTGGGAACTGAACCCAGGGCCTTCACACTGAGCTACATCCCCAACTATTCTATTTACTTTGAGATACTGTCTTCCTAAGTCACTAAGTCGCCTGGGCTGCTCTTGAACTTTCCATCCTCCTGCCTCAGCTTCCCAGAGTGTTGAGATTACAGGTGTGTGTCACCACATACAGATTCTTTTTTTTAAATTCCTGCTTTCCAATCATCCTACACATCTGCTGCGAAATAACTCTCCCATGCTGTGTGAGGATCTAGGCGCCAAGAATTCAGTCCTGGGGACTGGACCAAGAACTCTTCTTTCCGGGTGGAATTCAGGCCCTTTTGCCCCAGCATACTTTGAGAACCTCCCAGTTTAGGGAAGCAGGAAGATGGCAAAGTAGGAGATAACAAAAACAAATCAAAACAAACACCGTTAGGAGTATATGGGCGTGGTGGTGCAGGCCTGTAATCCTGGCACTCAGGGAGGCTGAGGCAGCTGATTGCTTTGAGTTCGAGACCAGCCTGGGCTACATATAGAGTTCCAGGGCAGTCTGAACTACATAGTGAGACCCTGTCTCAAACCTTGTATCTCCAGGAAGAGGAATCTGCTGGGAATTGAAGGGGTAGGTGCGAGACTTTTGTAGCATTTAAATTTTTATTATTTGTATGACTGAAAGAAAAAGGTCAGGGAGAAAAAATAAGTGCAACACTTATTAACCTTTACAAATTTTAACTACATAGTAATTATCTGTTCAAAAAAATCTTAAAATGGCAAGCTTATCTGCAAACCTGCCAATTTAAGAAGCAAATCATCAAACATTTTAAGTAAGGTTTTCTTTTATCAGTCACAAGATAATGAATACTTAAGCCACATCAAAACACTACAATTAAACAAGAAAGACGTCCTTACCCTGAGGGACCTACCTAATTTTTCTAGAAAGAGTTAGTAACAAACAACATTGAGATAGATATAAACTGGTTAGGGCAACAGAGCAGGATGTTGTGAAAGAGTGAATGTTGTGGGTGTTGAGGCCGATGAGTTTGCATGATTAACAATAGGCTACACAGAATCCTTGAAGAGGAGGGACTCCTAGCCGGGTGCGGAGGTGGATGTCTGTAATCCCAACACTCAGGAGGCTGAGGCAGGAGGATCGCTATGAGTTTGAGACCAGCCTGGGCTACATAGTGAGTTCCAGGTCAGTCTCAACTACATAGTGAGAACATGTGTCAAAAAAACAAAACAATCCTCCGCCTGCCTTGCAAGCACAAGGACCCGAGTTCAACCGAGTTAGATCCCCGGTACCAACAAACCAACCAACAAACAAACATAAAAAGAGGAGGGACTCCAGAGCAAAAGTCTAGCCGGGGAGAGGAATCTAAGAGACTTAAAATTCCCATTAGCTAGAAGGCACACTTTACATACAGCTCATATTACAGGTTAATAAAAACCAGCAATTTTCTAAGGTTATTTACACTTCACATAAAATTGAGAAAATGTTAACTGTCCATATTAAAGAACTTTGTCATCAGAAGTGACAGAAGCGGAAGTGTTAGGAGGGTACTAGCAACCACTCTTGGCTTTGGCCACTGTGGGTAAGAGAAAGACTCTCCTTAAATGGCCACGTGTAGAGCTCCGGTCCGCTGGAACCTAGGTTACCATACAAAAAAGACACGTTTTACTGTCAGCCAGCAAATGTCTGACACTTCAACTGTATCATCAGTTGTGATGTAAGGAAATTCTTCCCCCGGTGTTGAGTACTAAATTGTGATTTCATTAAAAAATCCGGCTGACAAAAAAAATCTGGTTTAAAAACAAATCCAGCTTCAGGGACAAGGGGAAAAAATGAGAACCAAGACTTGTCATGTAGAGGTACAAGATCCCAACAATGAATGTAAATGTACTGTATCCCTAAAATGTACCAATAAACTCAATTAAAGCTGGAAAAAACAAAACAAACAAAAAAACCCACAAAAAACAAATCCAGCTTGACGTTAGCCTTTCAAAGGTGCCAACACACCACTTATCACAGTTAATGAGTACAAAGTGCTAGCATAAAGGAAACAAATAAATGTAAATGGCCATTAAACCCAAGACTACTGCACAGTAATGTGAATCAAAACAAATCCATATTGGGCTGGGGATTTAGCTCAGTGGTTCCGGTGCCTTCCTCGCAAGCGCAAGGGCTCGAGTTCGGTCCCCCGTACCAAAAATACAAAAACAAAAAATCCGTATTAATAAACATTAAATACATATTCTGACATCCAGAATTCACAAAAAGTGCTGATTTAATGCAAATTAGAGAACGCAAATTATCTTTGTTTGATAGCCAATATCCTTTGACTCAGTAAATCTCAACTCCAGTGGAGAAGGAAGACTATTCATGGCGGGGTTATTTACAACAGAAAAATAGGTGGAAACTTGCATGTGTAACAAGAGACGACTCAATCAGGGCTTGACCGGGTAAGGGGGGGTGTTTCCTCAAGGTGCATTTTGCAACCAGGGGCACTGGGTTTTGCCAACACAAGGCCGGGCGCTGGCGAACAGACACAAACACCGCGGCGGCGGCCTCGGCTCTCGTCTAGAGGGGACCCCGGGGCTCGCCTCGGGACAGACGCCTCGGCCGCTGAGTCACCAAAGGAGGAGACGAAGCTCTCCTGACCCTGGGCCCACTTCGCCCGCACCGCGACTGGGGAACGTGACCGC